GAATACTTCCAACACCACTCTTGCAATGAAACACTTTGTAGATGACTTGGAAAAGGTTGGGATATTCTACAGTGATAATGCCCCAGAAATTGTTGCTGCTATGAGAGCAATGAAAATAAGGCACCAAATCAGTAGAGATTACGTATCAACATCCAATGCCATCGCCGAACCTGCTGCTCATTCAACGTTGGAAGGAACCCGATCGAACCTGTTGCAAGCCGGACTTAATCACGGATACTGGCCATACGCTGCCAGACACTGGTGTATCATGCACGACGCTGCACCAGCTGGGTCTGGAAAGGACACACCATGGAAGTTAAGGCTTGGGACTGACTTCGAAGGACCACTGATCCCGTTTGGATGCAAGGTGGACTATTGGACCGGACCTAGGAAGAGACCCAAGAAACAAATGAAGTTTGAACCGACCACTGAGCCAGGTATATTCCTAGGATACGTGATCCATCCAGGCTTCCATTGGAGAAAAGAATTTGCAGTAGCCTCATTGAAACAAATCAACGATGCAGATTTTGACCAATCCGTCACAGTATTGAGGGTAATGAAGGTATCAGTCCCCGAAAACATTGAGTTTCCCTGCCGGAAACGTGCCGATGCTATCCGTGAAGGTCGTTTGAGGCCTAACCAACTGTGTGATGATGAAGAGGATGACTTGCCGCCTTTGGAAGAGCAAGATGCTCAGCCTGCGCGGGAGCCAGGCCCAGTCAGACGAACAATCAAGGACATCGAAGCTGGACAGCCTGCCCAACCATCAAGTGCATCTGCCATATATCACAAAAGATGGTTAGAATTTCTCAAACATGTTGACTTCAAGGAAGCTTGGTACGAGAATGCAGATTGCAAAGTCAACATCCGAATCATTGACAATTAATGCATCGGTCCCTCCTCCGACTTTAGTGCAAGCGATTATCCATTCCGGACCACATGCATTAAGGATGGTGACTCCTGGCACGTCCATGAAGAAAACTTGAAGATTGATCCTCCAGTCGAAAATCTTGAGAAAAGCGTCGAATTCCATGAAGTGATTGTAACTTGTAACTATATTCTCAAAAAAACCCATCGACCTGATCGAGGAACCGTGTCGACGAGCCATCGGGTGAGGAAGTGCCGGCAGGTGAGGTTGAAGTCATCAACCCAATGACAGGGGAAGTTGAAAGAATCAGAACTGATGATCCCTCATACTACGACGCAAGTGGATTCAAAGCAAGAAAATACAAGAATTCAAGTAAACCAAAAGACATCCCTCCTTTTGTATGGCAAGCCATGTCTCAGAAAGAAAGGGGGTTAGCAATAGCTGAAGAACAAAAGACACTTGCTCTGGAAGAAAAGGAAAAGAAACGCGCCAGAAGGGTGAAAGCTGTACCCATGATCGGAACTCTCAAGAGCACACCAAATGACGTGGAAAAAAACATGACCTATGAGTTTATCCCAGCTATGCCTACTTGCAAGATGAACCCTCAAAAACATCGGAATATATAAGTGTATTAGGCTTGGAATCCAATCAGGGAAGAAAGCCGTTAACACTCTTGTTGCAAGGCCGGTTGTACATCTGCGCCGGCGGCAGCCGCGCCTTCTGATCCATCCAGCAATTTTCAGGCCAAGGCCAAGCCTGCCAAGAAGGCGATGCTGAGGCAGAAGCTGAAGGTGGTGGAGGAGGCACATGGCCCTCGTCATCAAGAATTCGACACGTCGAAATTCACGTCAGCCCAAGACCTGGTCTGGATCGAGCCAGGCAACATGGCCGGACAGGCGTGTGGACAGTGGGCGCCTCAGCGCGATTTCCCACTCAATGTCCGATTATCTGAAGGACACAGGCTCTTCCACAGACGTCCTTCTCCAGAGATCCGCAGGTCCGACCTCTCAATGGACTTCAAAGCCCTCGTTTGGCACCTCCAAGGAGACTTGCCCACTTGAGAGAGGAAGAGGTGCTCATGATTGTGAAGAACTCGCCGATGAGACGGTTCAGGATCCAAGGTGGACGCCAGTCCGAATTCGTGCAACACAGGGACATCGCAGCTTCCTTGTGGAAGAAGGCGGGATGGCCTCAATGATTCGCACGATGTACACCTTCGATCAGGACTTCGACATCGCGAAGGTGGATGACCCGATTGTGCATCCAGCATTCTCAGCGATGCCGGAAGGCTCGCCAATTTGCGAAGATTTTCCACGTGTGATCTACCACACATGCGATCAGGCGGCTTTCCTCTCGATCATCTGCAATGGCCTGGTACCTGGAGGATTTCCATACAAAACCGGCCGCGCCCACAATTTCTTCAATTCAACGCCTCCTTGGAAGGCTGACATGAAGAAGCTTCAGGGCACGCGGGCCGGGAGGCCAATCGCCATTGCGTTTGACACCGAACTCCTCATGCAGATGGACTACAAGTTGTTCGCAACGGACGAAGCGATCCTTTCTTCTCCAGACTGGATTTCAAATACGGCACTGATGAACGCCTACGATATGCGGTCTGGGGAATTCTTCTCTGTCAATCGTGCATATGCCCACAGGAAAGCATACCAAGCAGTCCTCAAGGAAGCCAAGGAGAACTTCGATCCCACGGACGAGCTCGTCAGCAAGATGACGATGTTCATGGACGATGCCAAGTTGAACTTCGACGGGATGAAGGCGCGCATCGAGTTCGGCAAGTTGCTCCCTTTCTCCAGAAGAGAAGAGCTTGAGGTGGAAAAGGGTATTGCCACCCGGGAGGGTGAGCCTGCGACTGGAAAACAACTGGTCCATGCATGAAAACAACTGGTCCATGGCTGTACACCATTGCCAAGATGGCCGCGATGACGAGCACAGATGCCTGTGAATTTCAACGTCATGGACGCCACGGAAAAGGGGGCGGCAACTGGGGCAAGGGCTGTGGCCGTTTTGGATTTCAACTTCAAATGCAAGACATTTCGGTCTCCCAGATCCAGGAGTTCCCTCGTGTTCGCTGCAGCCACCCTATCTGCCGGTACCAGATGGTGGACGGGCATCTCAAATGTCCACAACGTTTTCGTCAAATTGAACCTGTGACAGATGCCAACATTGCCACCGAGGTTGCCCGCCGGGAGGCGTCGGCCAGCACTCGTGGTGCTCCCTTCTCAATGGACAAGGTGATTTTCAATCACCCTCGACGGCAAAAAGTTGCCCGCTAAGCCGAGAAGGGTTCGTCCCCGTCCATGGCGGTGAGAACGCGCAGCACCTATGGGAACTTGAAGGACATGGCAAAGAATTACGTCCGTTCCTTCAAGAAACGTGGTTTCCGGGATCTGGTGGACAGGCTGACGCGCGATGCATTTTTCCAGTTCAACGCCGCAAATCAAAACCTCATCCCGGAGGCACTCCAATTCAATAGAGAGGCTCGCAGGCTGCATCAGCCCAACCATTGAGCGCAACAAAGCTCAGATCCTGGGCGAGAAACTGGAGATGGCCACAAAGTTGATCTTTCCTTCGTTGGAGCGGGAGCCCGACCAACCTTTGGATCTTCACACCGAAGTGTTTGTGTCGCACAGGGGCGTGTTCCTGGACATTGGACAGTTCTCCGTGTACGTCGCCCGTTTCATCAAGCCAAAACAGAGGCCCCTATACCCATTGTATATGGATGGGGAAACCGTGACTTTTTGCCGGATGCCGACGACGCCAAGGCCATCGCCAAGGATCTGATTGCTTTCAGCAAGTCTCAATGGGCTGAATTTGCATCTGGCCAAACCCACAAGGAGCCTGAAACCACAGGTGACGACCGGGAGGTCCGTCTTCCACATGCTACGACATCGGTCAGTTTGCCTGAACACCAGCGGCCACATCATGAGCAGTTTGAACCCAACCTTGGAAAGCCAGCTCGCAGTGGACCGTATGGACGAGATCAGGGTGGGAAAGGCCAACACAAAGGCGGGGGAAAGGGCAAAGGAAAAGGCCAAGAGAGGGGAAAAGGCAGGCATGGCAAAAGCCCACCGGGAGGTGCGGCCTATGGCGACTTTGTGGGGCAGCCTGGATGGGACCAGGGCTACTGCTACACCTGGTATCGGAACCAACAACGTGGCTGGTACTGGCTGAGAGGCTGTATGACCCACTGTGACGCTTAGGTCATATCCTCCTTTTTGCTTGCCGGGAGGCATGCCTGACTTCGTCAAAATATGTCGGGCATTGCACCCATTTTGAACATGCCAAAGCTGTGACGCAAAGAAAACAACACCAATCTATTCAATTGCACTGCTTTGACTTCCGAACAGTTTGAATGAATTCAAATTTTATTTCCATAAACTTCTCGAGCCATGCGCTGGATGTTCAAGGCAATGATTTTATCGATTTGCACTCATTATCATGGCTGTACAGTTTTTCCTTGCCATGGCGTTTTCGGGGGTGAACATTGGAGTGGTAATGCTCCATCACTTCATCTGAAGATGCCTGGCGGGAGCCACGGCCGTGCTGTGTGCAACGTGCATCCGTCAACCGGGTCAAAAAGTGAGCATTCGAATTTGCCTCATTGCACTCGTCTTGCCTTGACATCCGACCGCATTTATCCAAAGCATCCGTAGTGTTCCTGGGTGGCCCTGTAAACCTGCCACGCTTGGGTCTCAATGCAGCGGCGGGCAACAGGTGACGGATTTACCGATGGGTGCCAAGCATCCACGGTAAACGGAGGGTGTTTCTACGGGGTGTATAACACTTGCTTCCCAATACCTCCCTGTATAGGTCATCTGTTGTCCATGTACATTGCACCTTAACTTTTTGGCTCAAGAACCAAAACAGTGCGTGCTTTGTGGCTGAACTACGCTGTTTAACTTGAAATATATTATATAATGTAGGATAATTTAGTATAATATTGAATTTAATGTTAATATTAATATAATATAACACAATACAATATATTTTAATAATGATAATAATAACAATATATGTATATATATATATACACATAATTATTGTAAAGATATGTACCTAGTCATGTATCACCTGTCAGTCCATGTGGCAGTCTGTCACATTTTCCACATTGCAG